ACAGACTCTACGCAAACACCGGCAATTTGGGTCAATGTTTGTTTATTTGTGCTTCAATCAACCCAAAACGCATAAAGTTAAAAGCAAAACCGAAACAGCATTGACCTATGCCCATAGACGACAGTCTTGGGCGGGTCTTTCAGTCCATTACCATTGTGAGTATTGTTATATATGTATCTATATATATATGTATATATAGGTATATATTTGGTTTTGGCTCTATAGAATTAGTAGTAAATAAAATTACTTTACGTTTCCCGCGAATACGATCCATCAGACGCTTTAAGACTCGTACGCCGGGCGTGCGATTCAATCGCGAGTTCAATCTATTTGCAAAACCCTGTAAGATATCTGTGATTTCTCTTTCGAATACTTGCAAAAAGGCCTGTAAAATGTGTCAAAGGATTAACATTCGAGTACACAATATGCATAACTCAATCAATTTGCATCAGATATATATCTCGCACATATCTAAACACATTCATACTCACATTCATGTGCATATTGAGCGCCACAATGCGATCGCTCTGCGTGTAGGGCGCCGATGCATCCTCATCGAAATCGAAGTGCACCTTCTGCACATAGGTAATCTTGGAGCCATCTCGCGAGAAGTGCTTGACCTTCTTCTGGCGATATTGTCTAAGGAGATAGTGTGAAAGATTTAATAAGTATAAGTATAAGTATAGATATAGATATTGTCTTCACTTACTTATAGACATACGGTCCAATCTCCTCGACAATTGGTATGGCACCTTGTTGTATCATATCGGGATTCGTGACATTAAATATGTAAACCTTAAAGTTCAACGGCTGTGGTAGCTTTATAAAGCGATTAAACTGTTCCGAGCCATCGGCAATGATCACGCTCTAGAAGAAATATGATATTGTCATGATGAGATATGCCTATGATTATAGCAGCTTAGAGCTAATAAAAAAAAAATATGACAACTTTATATTCTGATTATATTCGACATTCATCATCTTCTTCATAATTCATGTTTCGCAATTTTGTCATCGCCTGTCGCCTTAACAACTGAATTATGATCGAAATGATGAATTAGTGGCCATATAAATCGCATCAGCCTCATCAAGACGTCGCCCCAGTGACGTCGGTGAACCAGTTTTTTCTCAGTTTACTCTTAGCAGACAGCAAGCAAATATGTCAACAGTAAAATTTGTTAATTATTTTTAATATACGTATACAAATATTTTTAATTCTTTTGAATTTATTTGAAACGCATTTCTCGCTGCTGTTGTCAAAGTGCAATGACCGAAATTCCTAACAACAAAACATTTTTATTTATTGGATTGAACGTGAACGACTCATATCGTTCATATATCATTTTTCAAAATGCATTTTTATTTTGTGTGCGACCCTGTGCGAAAATTAACACTGGACTGTAGGCGCTTTGACTAGAAGCTTCCATAAATATTAACAATTCCCTCTCGAAGCAAATAAATGCCAAAAATTGGCAACAAAAACCACATTAAAAAACACGAAAAAACAATATAAATTTTATAGTGGGGCCACGTACTACAGATATGGACATACGTACTACACATGATACAATTTGAGGAATTGTCAAAAAAGAGATCTTCGAAAAGCATAAAAATAACCACAAATATTTCAAGGTCAATGCACACAGAGACACGCACATGCACGCAAGCACACGCACACAGACACACGCGCAGCGCTGCCAGCGTCGGAGGCAGCCAGTGTAAAGAGCATACAAAACGTTTGATTAACCTTAAGAGCTGGCAAACGAAGAGAGTCGAAGATAATCAACGACTACAAGAGCCGCATTGACACTGGCCCAAAATTCAGTTGGCAGCCAAACAAAATAATAATACAAAATAACAAACACAAAAACAAAAAATATATAAAATAAAAACAAAATAACTATTGCGAAATTGACCAATTTTAACAACTACAAAAACAACAACAACAACAACAAATCAAAGTCACAGCAAGCGCTAAAACGTGACTGAAATTTATATAAAAAAAAAATCTTATTCGTATGCAAATCTGTCTGCGGCAGACTCAGTGGTTCAGTGGCTCAGTCTCTAAGAATGTGCCCAGTCGCTGGGGTCAATGCGGCGTATGCGTAATAAATAATTGTGTAGACTTTCTAGCCCAAGAGACCGCCGAATATTACGTGCTAATTGCTTGGCCTTTTAAGCGCAATTGCATAATAATTTGTCCATCAATTGCTTTGAATTTCAATTGGTTTTTCATTTGCATGTTTGAATGACAAATAGAAAAGCCTTATATGGGCTGCCTTCAACTTGAAGGCGACAACGCTATTTTTGATAGCACCAACCTTTGGCCGGCTCTAGGCTAACTTTGAACTCTTAGCCATTCTAGATTGCATCTGAACGACATGCCGCATACGGAACTCAACAATGCCTCGTAAAGCGTAATAAAAACATGGCAAAGTTGACCTCATCCATGGGCGCTACCGAGGCAAGGTTGTTGCCGCTGAAAGAGCATGACAACCCTAAAAGCACAATTAATGCGAGCTGCGAGCTGCGGCCCGCCATGGGCAGGGCCAGGGCAGGGCAATTAAAAAGCACTGCGGCACATTCTAATTACAAATTAAACAACAACAACAACAACAACAGCAACGTCTGGCCATTGGCAATGAATCAGCGCCTTGAGAACCCATTGCAATGATATACATAAAAGAGAAGAAGAAGAATTTAAATATGAAACTTTTAGCTTTAACAACGCTTTATCTCATTACACTTAACATTTATATACATATTATTATCTAATATAACTAACAACAATACCCATGTTGAATTTGGAGGAAATGCTGACTGATTGCATTTCTCCCATAGCCTGATGTGATATTTACCGCTGAGTATTGGATTGCATATAGATTGTATCTAACATGTTTTGGCTCGTAATTTGATGGGTTTATATAAAACAAATGGTAACGGTACTTTTATATTTAATGTGCCATGTTCTGCCGCGTCATTCATGACGATAATGAAGCCCTGTCGCAACTGTGTAGATCGACGCGATGTTATGCAATTGCCCGATGGGGCTATCGTAATGAGTTATGGCTGCATGTTATATGTAATAGCTCCATGTTCTTTTGAAGGTCATCGTTGACAATGTACATCGGCACTTTTTAAGTGCGAATGGGTGCATGGCTGTTAACCCATCTGAATGACTCAAAAGTGGCTAAGAACTTGAGCGAAAATATGAATACGAAGTTATTGTTTACTATTAACAGCAGCTTAAAGTTTTGCCAAGAATATAGAAGCAAAACGAATAACTTTGGGGAACCCCAGCTATGAGCTATAATTACACATGCCAACAAAATCTAATGCAGTTCAAGAAGCACGAGCATGCTTTGGCTATTTCAAATATAACTCTAGGATATCGTTTACTAAAATATCCTAATAACTAAGTTTGATAATACTAAATTCATTCAAGAATGTGATTCCGCATTCTGAAATCTTTTAATAGACTTGCCAACTGAATTTTGTTGATCTGTGTTAACTCAGAACAAAATACCAACTAACATATGTTTAGAGCTTAAATTTAATTCAATCTTGCCATAAGAAATATGTATATGACTTATCGTAATGTTTATCGTTGAAAGCTAGAACTTATAAATTTTTTTCAATTTTTTTTTTTTTTTACATAGATTATTAATCAAATTTAATAAGATTCTCTTTTCTCTTCAGCTGTCATGAGAAATCCATCATGCATATACATATATGTATAGATCTACCTTCATCTATTGCCATTTATCTGCTTGCTAATATTAAGAATAAATACATTTATGCATTGCGAAATTTCACAATTCCAACATTTATACAGCAAATAAATATATACATATACATATATTTGTCTGCCTATTACCAAATATTTGCACTTTGTCTGTTTGTTAACGAGAGAAATTGTTGTTGGACAAAAAGCTGTGAATTATTGAGCCCATCTCTAACAGCGGTGAATTGGAAAAGCCTTCAATTAACAGTTAGATAAGTGTGCTCTACGCAGAACCCTTGACAGTCAATGCATTGAAAGAGAATATCTATGCATATATGTATTATACATATATTGTTAATAAACATATTTGCTGTGACTAAACCATAAACAACTGTGAATCAGCCGGGCTTTTAATTATCAGTTTAGGAAGTTTGTTCAAGGCAAATGGAATATTTAGAGAATAAACACATTGTACTGGAATTTTAAATATGTATTTATAATGAAATACTCCAGTTACTAAATAACATATTTGCTGTGAGCTTGGGAGTTTGCCTTCAACAGACTTACAGCGAGTACTCAGAGTCCTTAAGGACCACAAACTATGCAGCTTATCAAATCTATTCTCATTAAATAGTCTACTTTCCATATTGTAGGACTCACCTGTTCGACCTTCTTGTGTATCATGGTGGGGAACAGTGACCAGCCGCAGTAGGCGCACAGCACAGCGACAATGGCGCCCAGGGCGCTGACAATCAATGACCAGTGTAGCATTTTGTGCACTTTCAACAATCTACGGAGCAGCTATGGAACACCGCGTAGGGCAGCCGGCACAGCATGGGCTGACTTAGGGGAGTCGAGGTGGACTGAGAGACAGACAGCTGTTCGTTACGACTTTGTGCCGGCAGCTCAATCAGCGCATAGTTTGAGATTTATTTATTGATGTTGGCTCTCGCCGTTGCCTGACCTACGCCAAGACAGCTGCCACTTGTTGTTGTTGTTATTGTTGGGTGTTGTTGGTGTTGGTGTGGTTGCTGATGGTCGCCAGCGTCTGGTGCCGAAACAAAGCGCACTATTTATAAGATATACGCGCTTTCAGGTTTTCGCCTTTTGTTATATATACACTTATATTTTGAAATAAACAAGTTGTTGAATGCTCTACGATGCGTTCGTTGGGTTATTTTTTTAGTTTTTTTTTTTTTTTGGTTTATTTTTTCTTCAGTTTGGTTTAGTTTTTTCTTTTTCTTTACTCTTTGCTTTGCTTTCTGCGTTATATGTATGTAGCCATACACATATAAGAAATATTGTAATTTATAATGTCTTTTATTTTTTGCTGCCTTTTATTATTTGTTGTAGTAGAAGCGCTAAAGGGAGAAAACTAGTTTTGCGCCTCGCGTTGCTTTATTTTTTGCTCGGAATTTTGAATAATTTTGGAATAATTTCATTCAGCTAATTTATATGGGTCAACATCTGAATGCGCTGAAGCTCATCCGTGAACTGACAGCTCAGGATAACAGCGACACATATTTATGCACTCTTTGTACACACACACTCACTCACTCACTCACTCACTCACACTCGCACTCACACTCACACGCGATTGGTGATGTGTGTGTGTGAAGTTCAGATGGTATCGGATGGCAGCAGGATAGCTATATGGCTCTTTGCCGTGCCACTGGCAAAGGTGATAAAATCAGCGCGCGTTTATTTAACGGGCGCACGCGAATGGATTGAATGGACTCGGAGTGGCTGGCAAATACAAATTTTCGCTTAGCAAGTAATTGAATTGTTTTGCCTTAATGACCGGGAAACTTCGGAAATTCGGTATACTCGTAGATCGTAGCGCGCTGCCAACGCGCCGCATGAAACAACCGTAAACGACTGCCAAAGTTCAAGACAAGCTCGGAGCGAACCGCCGCTGAGCTTATGAGCCGCGAGCACTTTAAGCCACATACATACATGGAGAGCCCCTCACTCCACACTCCTCTGACCTGAGCCAGCGATCGGTCTGCATAGGTAGTCGCCCTATACCTTGCTCACACAGAGAGAGAGAGAGAGGCAGAGAGAGGGAGAGCAAGCGACTGAGCGAGCGAGCGAGCGAGTGGCTACACATTGACAGCTCACAGAGCTTGTCGCATCCCGGGTCTATAATGATGCTGCAAGTTTTGTTGCCGCTGTTGCTGTTGCTGCTGCTGATGAGTAAGACGTTGTTTTTGTGTAATTTGGATATAAACATTATGTACAACCCATTAGCAAATTAGTGCAACTATTTTCTTCTTTTTGTCTATTCATTTTTTTATGCATATTTAAACTTTAAAGTTTACTTTATAATTGCGTTCATTAGCATAGCATTAGGCAAGCCCTGAAGCTCTGCAGAGTAGGGAGCGCGTGTGCTTATCAAATAAACATGAATTAGATTATCTTGTATCCTTTTCTAGCGCCCTATTTTTAAGGTCAACTAGCAGCGCGCTCCCTCTTAAGGCCTGGCTAAGAGATAACTTCACTTGAAATCGACCAACTTTAATATTTTGTCTTCAGTTCGCTCTTGCAGCGCGGCAGCTCTTGAGGTCTGCCTCTCTCACTCTATATATATATCTCTCTCCCTCTACCTCTCTCTCTCTCTCTGTCTCTCTCTGTTTCTTCAGGCGCCGCGTGGGTGCACTTGACAAGAGGCAAACGCATTAACAGGTTTTTTCATTTTTTTTTCTTTCTGTTTTTGGGGCTCTGTGCGTGCCACGAATTTTATATGTGAGATTTACAACAACAACACTGGGCGAAGCTTTTGTTGAACTTGACACGATTGTTGTTGTAAATTTACAGTTGTTGTTGTACATACAAATGGCTTTTGGCTTCTTGTTGTTGCTGCCGTCATAGATATTGTGCAAAAACGTCGAGCTTTAAATATTAAACAAATGCAAAACGCGGCGCCAATTAAAGCCAAGCCAACGGGAGCTGCAAAATAAATGAAATGAATGATTTGAATTACATTTGTCTGAACTGTTTGTTATTGAGTGTTTGCACTCTTTCGAGAAGCAAAAAGAGTATATTAGTTGATGACATTGAACTGGATGCTGCCACAGCGTACGTTTATCTATTTAAAGACCTTTAAATTTGGCGTGGCAAATCACAAATCTCCTTGAGTTTTATGGTATAAATCTCCATATAATCAGTTGGACAATTTTCTGGAGACTTCCACAGATAAACGTTTAGCTTATAAATTATTTACACTTTTACACTGCGGACAAGCATTAGACAGTCGACTACAACTTTGTTGCTTATTTTTATCATTGGGCGAAGACAATGGAAAACGCTCGGGTTCAATAACAACAACTGTTATTCGAGCGCCAGCTGATGAATGTTTGTGCAAATCATAAAACTGTCATTAATTTTTCATCGCCACTCGACTGATTTTAATTTCTATCAAATAGAGAAACCGGTTTATGTAAACCCCATTTAAATAGATATGAAATTTGCATGCAATCTTTAAATGAATTCACTCCTTAAATTTGTTGTCACCTCCCATTTAGCTGCTCCACATCCTCACGCTCATTATAAATATCACCGGCCCCATTGGGACGCCGGCTGTAGCTGCAGCTCGTCTTGGGAGTGTTTTGTTTTTAATTATTTTGTAGCATTATCCACAGTTAGCCTAGTTTTTGAAGGGCCCTGAACCCAGTTTCTTATTTGCGTGCAGCGCGCTGATATCGTAATTTAAATATTTATTGCATTTTTTATGCCTCGCTTGCCACTTGACTACCAAGCAAGCACATCCTCGCTGCACACACACACACACACACACACGTACAGTGTGTCCCCCTTTTGTGTGACCTGAAAATTAAATTCAAATCTCGTGTAAATACCGAAGGCAAAGAAACAGTTTGTGTTCTACAAATTGATTGCATGTGTCCTGGTCGACTTACAAAAAAGAGAACAAAATAAATAGAATGACCTGAACGACCAAGAGATACCACAAAAATTGGAATGTATCCCAACTGTACCCTTTCTCAAGTTTGCAAAGTCTTTCGATTGTCTGTTATCAAATATGTTGTCTCCTTTCTAATCTCTTCTCTCTGTTACATATCTATGCCCATCGCTAATATACCTCTTTCCATACATGCCCAAAGGTATCAGATTAAAAAGCAAGCATCTGTGGCATTTGATAAAATGATGTATGAAATTTCACACGGCAGGAGACTGCCTTCCTATAAAGTAGTGCCAATAAAAAACAATCAAATGTTACTCGGCGGCACGCTATGCAAATATATGTATGTACATGTATATGTATGTATGTATGTATATCCTCATCGATGGCATGCTATGGCAATTCCAATTTATAGATAATTTGATACGAACTGTCAGTCATTCAGCCCGTCCATCGGTCGCTGAGTCAAAGACCGTGCTGCCAGCTGGCAATTGGCAATTGGCAATAGGCAACTGGCAAGTGGGAATTGGCACAAGGACATGCGAGGCGTAGCTTTGCTTGTGCGCGTTCGTCGGAATGCATTTCTAATTTGTATTATGCTTGCAGCTTGCAGTTTGCTTGGCTATTGCCATAAATATTTCAAGTCATGAGCCCCGGTGGGTGTAAAGTGCGTGCCTCCCCCGCCCGAAATAGAATGTGCTAAGTATTAAATGCAATTAAATGAATTAAACGACTTGCGAATGAGGCCAACGTGTCGTATAAGTAATACGAGCCACTGTCGCTGTTGTCGCTGCTGTTTGCGTGTGTGGCACTCCACAGAACAATGACAGCAACAGCAACAGCAGCAGCAACAGCAGCCTGTGGCAGTCACAACATGTTCAAGTGGCACGCCTCCTCCCGCCCCTGTCCTCTGCTATCCTGCTCGCTTATCACCAGCCCGTCATCGTTTAGAGGTGCACGGACAGCTGTCGAGGGGTCAAAGCGACGGAGCAAGCGAACGAGCGAACGTCCGATTGATGAGCAGCCAGTTTCTGGTCTCTGGACTTGCCCCCCGGCATTTTGGCGCAGAACTGTGTCATATAGAGTGCTAAAAGATTTATGTGCTGCACCTCGACTCACTCCTGCTCGCTTTGCCTCTAATCCTGTCTGTTTGTCTGCTCCCCACCCCGCCCCCTTCTGCTGCCCACTGCGCTCAATACGTGGCACAAACGACAACCGCTCACCGCAGGCTTAAGTGTCTCTAACTGCCAGACAGCTCAGTCACATATGACTCTCTGCCTCGCTCACTCTAGATAGAGGTTACCTCTCCCTCAGTCTCTCTCTTTCTCTGTCTCTCTCTGTCTTTCTACAAGTGTTTGTGTTTGTGTGGTGTAGTTTTTCATTTCGCATTGCCTACTGCCTGTTGTTGCTGTTGTGGCTGATGTGTGCCCTGCAGCAAGGCAATTCTGCATAATTGCCAGGCCCGTTTCGTTGACTGTTCCGTAGTTTGACCCCATAAGAGTGGCTCTCATAGAGCACAGCTCCTGAACTGGAGCCAATTGGTTGGGATTTTCGGATTTGTGCAGTTCATGTTGGCCATGAATAATGTAGGCAATTTGTGGGCTAAGACCAAACTGTGCAGCTCGAAAAAAAAGAAACAATCATAATTGGAAGGAGATATGTGATTAGAGAAGCAAAAATATTTATGTGGATTTTATGTGTAAATATAAATAATAATTTCTCTATGCATATATAGAGATATACATATTAAAATATAGAGAAAGATTTCTTGATGAAGAAAACATAATTTGAAGAATCTTTGTTGTTTGTGTAATATAAAAATTGCTTACAAAATATATATGTATGTACTTAATAATATGGACATAAATAGAGTTATTGATATATATATATATTTCTATACCTACTTATAGGGAGAGAGATAAAAATATAGCCAAAGATTTCTTCCCCTTGTTGAACAAAATTTCAGCAACTTTTATGCTTATCCTTAGCCAAGGCAACTCAACATATCCAACATTAAAGCCATCTTCATCAATACTCATCCATTTTCTAGTTAACCGTTCAGGTCTTAGGCACCAATCCTGCTGTTTGTCCCAGTCAATTGACTGCACAAATCTTCATTTTGGCTCGGTCACAAAATTCAATTGCATTTGCCAACGAATTCCACTTAATGTCAGCGTTCGCCACCTGCACAATAATTTCCCGAAATGAATTACTGCGCATTAAGCTAACAAGGCACATACATATATACAAGCTCCCACACAAACCCACTCACACACACACACATACATTATACGATGCTGCTTGCAATCGTTGCGGCTGTCGTCGTCCTTCGCAGCAGACAAGCCAGGGACGCGATGCAGCCTGCAATGCTGGAGGCCAAATGGCTAAAAGAAGCAAAACAAAAACAAACAAACGAAACAAAAATGAAATGAGCGTGGATAAAGTAATGACAATAAGGCGCGAAAGCGCGCTCGGAAAATTCCAGCAGCGTAGCCCAGGCGAGAGCCCCTGAACCGCGTTCCGTGGGGGCGTACCATAATAACACGCATACGCCGCGTCGTACGTGCAAAATCAAAACATAAACCAAGCGTAGCCTCAAATCTAGTAGCTGCACTGGCTAGTGAAATATTCCGGGTGTGTGTGTATATGTGTGTGCATGTGTGTGTGCGTGTGTAGGGTAGCTCTGGGTTGGGGTTGTTTTTATTTGGGTTTTTCGCTGCACTTCGTGCCAACATCGTATTCAAGTCGTGAGCGCGTGACCAGTAGCCGAGTGTGTGTGAGAGAGAGAGGCAGAGAAGGAGAGTGAGAACGAGAGCGAGCCGAAGGAGTTTCCGTGCATGCATGATGATGATGATGATGATGTTGTAGCAACATAATCGCGCTTCGTGCAGCGCTGGTAAATTGCATTTCGTTTCATGAATTCAGCTTTCAGTTCTGTTTCAGTTTCGAGTCCGTGCAGCTGCCTGCGAGCGGAGCCAGCCAGCCAGTCAGAGCTAGAGCCAGAGCCAGTGCCAGAGCCAGTGACTCGGCCGAGTGCAGAAGTTTAGCAAAGCAAAGCAAAGTAAAAGCAAACAAGTGCAGTTTGTGTTGTGTTACTGTGCGAGCGAGTGTGTATTTGTATTTGTGTTTGGTTTGTGTTTGCGTATGTGCATGTGCATGTGTGTGTATGCCCCCGCCGTAGCATAGATACAGAGATACCTACACATTTTCAGCGCCAGCCGCCTGAAAAGTGAAAACAAACCAGGCCAGCGCAAATTGAAAGTTCTTCAATTTGAACTCGACAAAGAAAGGAAATCGAATTCCTTGACTCTCTAGAGAGATTTCTTGGCATATTTGTTGCTTGAAAATACGACGCACAATCTACAAGGCGACCATGTCGACGCTGCCATTCCTGCTGAGCGTGGCCGACGAGCTGGACAACATCCACACACAATCCTATCTGGACGACTTCGGCTTGGGCTTCCATCCGCACCGTCAGTACTATCGCACGCCCACCATTCAGCTGTCGCTGCCAGCGAGCACAGACTGGACTGGACGCGCCGATTGGCAGGGACGACATGCGCGCTATCGCAGCTACAAGTTCTACGATGATTCGGAGAACAATCTGGAGGAGGAGCAGCAGTCGGAGGCGGAGCAGCAGCAGCAGAAGCGGCAGCAGGAGCAGCACAGCCTGCAGCTGGAGCAGCAGGACATCAGCCAGGAGCAGGTGCAGCAGCAAAAGCAACTGCTCCAAGCCCATACTGCCACCATGGTTAAGTCGAACTCACATGACGTGGGCGTGGGTGGATTGGGTCTGAATCTGAGGGCCGGCGAGGAGGAGGACGACGAGAACATCGATCGCACCGTGCGCATGTACAATCTGTCCAAGAAGTGCTGCAAGAACTACTATCGGCATGCCTTGGAGATGGACGGACCCGGCGCCAGTGGCCGGAGCAAGTGCAGCAATGCGCGCACCGAATGCCATCAGTCGTTCTCCAGCTCCGAGGAGAGCCTGCAGAAGGTGCCCTCGCCCATTGAGTTCCTCACCTGCTTCCTGGTGAAGAAGACGCGCACGCCCAAATGCTCCAGCCATGCTGCTGCTGCCGGCCGTGCGGCAGTCGGGCAGCTTAAAAAAACATAGAACGCGGCCGCGTTGCTGCCAGCAGCAACGAGAGTGACAGCAACTGCAACTGCAACTGCAACAGCGACAGCCACAGCAACAACAACAACCGCTTCGGTCTCAATGACATCGACGTCGGCGTCGAAGCGTCGCAGCAACTGTTTCTGAATGTTGGCCAGAGTCGGTGTGCTCTGCGGCCAGGCCTGGAGCTGGCTGCAGCGTTGCGGCGAGCTGCCCAGCTCGGAGCCAACGACGTTGCCTGCAACGCGCCTGGGACGGATTACCTACTAGGCGCATATTCCATATTGGATAGCAGGAGGCGTGGCACACGCGACTAACACACACACGCACACACACAGACACACACGCACAAATACAATGGCAAATTGGTTTTAACTATGGCAAAAGGCTGGCAACAGGAATTTGCATAGAGATTCGTGCGGCGAAGCTTAATTTGCAGCAAACGCCGCTTGAACTACACACACACAAACACACACGCACACACCGAAATTGTTTTTTGGATTCCTTAATAATCGTAAAGCAACTCAAATACAATACACAAATTTTTAAGCCAGAGATTTTTTAACGAAAATAATGCGAATTTGTTAAGCAAACGTTTTTTATATGAATTTTTTGATACCTAACAAGCAAAACAAACAGATTACTATTTATATATACCTTATATATATACACATATTATATATACTATATTATACATACTTGTACTTGAAAATATGGGCAAATTTAAGGCACAGCCAAACAACAACACTAGCTCACACACCCACACACACACACGCACACACCCACACACGCACAGGAAAAGTTTCGTTTTTCGGGTAACAAAAAAAAAAAAAGGGGAAAAGTTTTTTATAGCACAGCAAATGAAGAACTAACAAAAATTGCAGAAACTTTTCGACAATGTCGGCAAGTGTTGGAGTGGGCTCTGCTGCAGCTCGCAGAGGTTATGAAAAGTGAAACATGTAACAACAAAAAGCAGCTGAAGAACAAGAAGAAGAAGAAGAAGGACATTTGTGGTCCTTGTGCCATATGAAATGGAAATTTTGTGAAACACTGAAACTGGAAAACGAGATAAAACTTATTGGTTTACGATTTGATGATGCCCCACGTAATATTTCCGTGTTCTTAACGTATTCTAAATGTTGACAAAAAAAAAAAAACAAAACCAAAGAAATACAATTTAGACAAATTGACAATTTTATACATAAACGAAGAGAAAACACAAAAAAAGATAAAAGAAAATTAAATGAAAATCGTAGCTGTTTGCACTTTCAGAGTTTAGTCTAAATTAGAACTACAAATACATGATATATCATACTCGTATTATATATGCTCGTTCTTTTAGTACCATGAATACTATATATAACTATATATATACATATATATTTAAACACACATATAGCTTTACAAAAACTGAATTATAATTGCATATTTCAACATATTTGGCGTGGTCAGGTGAGAATGGATTTCTCCCTGGCGCGGCGCCTATTAACAGTTAGTTGTTACTTGATGTCAATCATAATCGATATAGTTAACTTAAGAGCTCTCTCCCTCTCTCTCTCTCCCAATAACATGGCAAATATAGCAAACCGGTAAACGTTGAACTCCAAGCACATGAATCATATCTTATATAACATATGTATATGTATATGCATACATGTATACATGTATGTGTATAGAGCTTACAGGCTCTACTTACTATCGCATAGATTAGACTTATTTTCGATATCATCTTCTTCTTAAGCACACTACCAACTCGTAACTGCATACTTTAGCAACGCCAGGCATATCATAACGACAAACTTCAGCTAGAAATCGTAAACATAATTCAATTTGAGAATCCAATAAATGAATGTGTAACACAAAGAACTTCAGCTTTTACTACTGTATTACGTATTGAATCCTTACAGATTGCGCACAGTTGGCCTTGAGCGGAGACAAGGACATGTGCTGTGCCATATGTCCTTCATGGTATGACATTCGCATTAATTTTCCACGCGGACACTCGGAACAAATTTCCAACGTCAAACTCAAAAATTTCAAGTGCAAAGTGAGGGAAGACACAATTTGTGACCTTTAAGCAAAAAGGGACGACAGCCAAACGGCATGTCCTTTAACATGCATATGAGCTCCAAGCTGATGGCTGCTGCTGCTGCTGCTGCTGGCTGCGGCTATCCTGGCCCTGGACATACCAAGGATACGACGTCACCTTTTCCTTTTTGGAATTTCAAATGAGTTGCACTGACACTGGCGACACTGCGACACAACCTTTAACTCCCTCCCTCCCCCATTCCCATGCCCCGACCCGCCGTGACAGGCGCTGCAGACAGCGCGCATCAAAGACCGCATCGCACATGGCATTTGTGCCACCTGCGCCGCATTCACTTTCCATTTCAGCGGCATTCTCAAACTCTACCTCTCTTCCTCTCACTCTCTCTCCCTCTCTCCATTTCTCTTTGTATTGGGTTCAATAGCACAACACAAAAATAGACTAATGGAGCGTCAAAATGTTGCACGTAGCACAGCTGTGCTGCAGCTCCCCCCGCCCACTCGGCCATCCGCTGGCTGGCGGGTCTTATAAATAAATCCTCGTTTCCTTACGTATGCAAACAAGTGCAAGACCATTGTGGGCGTGCCTCAGGCGCCGGAATGGACAAAAGGAAATGTGTTTCACTTCTGATGCCCTGCTTGCATTAGGCAAGGAGAGAATGGCTATGCTAATGCTAATTATAGAGTTAGAGAATAATAGTGAATATGTGGAGGAGCTAGTTTTAGCTGTGACTGCATTTTCATAAGATTCCATATCCATAACCATCTCTCTCCTTTCAGCTAGCATTACAGGGTATTTACTCTACTTACGCACTAGTAACTGGTCTTGGCAGGGTATCTGCTAGTCAGTCACTCTCCTAATCTTAGAGCTGCACTGTTTTCTGTTCATTTTCTTGTCTGCTCCAAACAGAAGTGAAACTTTTTACGTGCTGGCTTTATTCATGTCTCTAGTTACTTCGACGTTCGAGCTGCGACTCGGGCTGCAGTTCCCTCTGAATGGGCCGGCCGGCGCAGTGAGTGGGGGACGAAACACTGGTGCTCACTCGCACGGCCAATTACAGTTTAGGTTGCGCCCGAGCCTGGCCTGCTCCGTCTCCAACTTGGGCAATGGCACCGCATTGCAGTGGCTGTGGCAGCCTGTGACGCTCTGCTCCTGGGTTCGCCTGCACCACAAAACGTTTGCCCTTTTTGTGGTCGAGTCTACCTTGGCGACTGTTTGGCCGCAATTTTGTTTTCTTTATATATCTTTCTTGTGCACCCAATTTGCCAGCGACTGCATTTATGGCAACACCAGAGCACGTCACTTGACTCTGGGCTGGGCTGCTCATGAACTGTGCTCCCATGGCGGGCCCTGGTGTAATGTCGCACTGATTGATTCGCCACGCCCCATTAAAGTTTATATGTTGTTTAAATGTTGTGTTTACGCCGCACGTTATTGATTTGCTGTAATTAGTTTGGCACAATTTCAGTCGAGCCATTCCATTAAATAGACGCGAAACGAGCCCGTAATTACGTATACGTAATTGCTGCGGCTTTGCACAATTTGTGTAGCATACTTTCGGGCGGCTGCATAAAATATTTATATTGAATGCATTCTGCTGCTGAATGGAATGGGAAATGCACTGGATTATGATGATGTTTTCATTAAGTTTAATTTATATTAGTTTAGTCCAAGTATTTAGCCAACTCACATGCTTAAATTGATTTGGGCAATTGTGGTCACTTTGCAGAGGTGTTGTCACTGCACTAGAATAAATCTGTTCTTTCCGTATTTTTGTAGCTGCTGCCTCTGGCAGCTTGCCCGCTGGCTGACAAATATGTGGCGAGCAAATGAGTGAACATTTATGGCCATAGACTGGCTGCTAGTGAGCGTATTGCACGCGCCGCACCGTCACTAGGCGAAGAGGTGCATCGAGCAAGACGCGTAGCCCCACACCCACAGCCGCGAGAACCCAGAGCCAAACAGAGACTGAGACCCACCCGCCTCGAGGCAGCTGGCGAGGCACATCCACAGCTCACCTGTGGGTGGCCGCATGCCAAGCAATCGAGATCCACTTGGATTTGCTTTCTATATGAACATCTAGATATAGCTCAGTAGATCTTGTGTAAGCGACTGGCAAAGAAAGTGCCTGAATGCGACCCACACCCTTTGGCATTGATCGTTGGGATCGTTTGCTTCGCATTTGATTTGATTTTGCCATAAACTCAAACAAATTAGTCGATTACATAGTTGTTTTTTTTTTTCTATATAGAATTGTTTACCGATAATTACAATGCATTATTGTCACTAGTTTTTATTGTCGTTGCTGTTGTTGTTGTTGTTGTAGCTGCTGCGGCACTTCATTGATTTTCAAACGAGAACTTTGCGCGCGCATTGCACGGCTACACTAGACTACAACGCAAATGTTTAGCAGCAATGAATGGAAATCTTTATAAGAGCCGTATAGATAATAAAAAAGTTATTTATAATCATACAACTAGAACTGCAAGTATAATTAGCTCTGTGAATTTACTTCGCATCACATTCGCAACTTAATCATTATTGCATATAAAAAGATCATCAGCTAGCTTAAGTATAACTGCATGTTATTTAGTTATTAATTTATGTTTAACTACTACATTCAATGCTGTATTTCGCATCATCAACGACAGCCCACTCGCATTTTGCGACATTTATAATTAATTGCTGAATTTCTGTTTCTATTGATGTGCACCGCGCTGTCAATTGCTGACTTAGTCACAAACTCATTGAACTCATTGGAAGATACATAATATACACAAGTATATATACTATACATGTATATGCGTGTAGGGCATGGCATGTAAATTGTCGCCGTTGTCTTTATAATTACTATCAAGCGCTGGCAAAATCTATCGCCAATACAACAGCAACAACAACAGAACAAGAACAACATCAAATACAATTATAAACGGGTGGGGTCACACACTCACACATACACATGCAGAGCTGTGTGAGACGGGGTCACGGGGTGTCGGCAGGTCAGGCCCATAAATGTTGCGATTCACGATGAGTTCATGTAGCTTTGTTGTTGTTGTTGTTGTTGTTGTCGCTAATCTTTGGTGCAAATCGATGGCAAAAGCCGAAAAGCCGTTTAGCAGACAACATCGCCATACAAATTGCCTTTTGTTATGACAGCCAGCTACAAATGTTTCAATCCAAGCATCGAACATGCTACAGACACAATATTCCTCTCTCTATCCATCTATATCTATATCTTTAGCTATATCTGTCTCTGTCTCTGTCTCTGCCTCTGTATCTGCCATAGCCGTGTAGCTCTGCTAATTGAAAATGAAAATCCGCATAAAAAGTCAATGCCGTATTTGGTAAAAAAGTGAAAAGAATTATGCGACGTTTTCAAATCTTTGTTTTCGCATTTCCGCCAAAGAAATGTTGTTGTTTATTTATTTATTTCGTGTTTTAATTTAGCCCAGGCTAGCTTCAAATACATATGGACAGCGTCACATAATAGCGGAAATGCTGCGCAATTAAGTTGAACTCTGTGCGCTTGGACGTTATGGGAGACTAGCTTTTCAGATTGCCAAAAAGATGCTCTGGGCCACAGCTGAACAGGGTCAGATCTTAGCAACTTGGGTAAGTGCGGAAGTTTGTCAACTCGACCCATTGGCAGAGCAAGTACCCCCAAGGAAATGCTATTGAGCAGTCAAGTGGGCCGACTGCAGCGGCCCACCAGCCCAGCGCAGCCAACGGCAAGCAGCAGCCCCATCAAGATCGAGTCGCCAGCTGGAGCTGCTGCATACGTCACAGCTGGCATTGCTGCTAGCGGCTGGCGGCTGGCGACTGGCTTAGCCCACTGGAGGCTCAGCTCTATATAAGGCGGCGATGCTGTCAGTATCGAGCTTAATTGACTCTGCGCTAAAATCGCGTGCGGACGTTCAGAAAACGCGGCGAATCGTGAAACGTAAAACGGAAAAGTTTTCTATCTAACTCAAGTCGTTACAATTCGCAACGCGCTGCTGCGTCCTGCCCAAAAGGAAGGCACCCAAACTCTCACACACACACACATAGTCGAGATGGCTCTGGTACCAGCATCGAACAACAGTACGGATTGGGATTATTGGGATTATCGGCGTCGCTTGTGGCGCGATTGGGATCTGGCCGCCGACTGGGACTTGCCCTACTGGAAGCGTTTGTCGCGCGTCGGCTCGGCGCCCGATCTGAGTCGCGTTGTCGTTGGTAAGGATGGATTCGAGGCCAATGTGGATGTGCATCAGTTCAAGCCATACGAGATAACGGTGAAGACGACCGGCGACACCGTCGTGGTGGAGGCCAAGCACGAGAAGCGCCGCGATGGCGACAGCTTCGTGGGCCGTCATATTGTCAAGCGATTCGTGCTGCCGCGCGGCTACTATCCCAACGATGTGCGCTCCGAGCTCTCCTCCGATGGGATACTCACCGTGCGCTGTCCGCCCTATCTGAGCAACGAGCGCAGCGTCTACGTGCGCCAAGTGGGGCCCTCGTACCTGAGCATTAAGAACTAACACACAGACACACTAACACTCTCACACACACACACACACACAATCAGATAGACAGAGAGGATGTTGTTTTGTTGTTGTTTGTTTTCTGTTGGCGGCACTGCCTTGCGCAAAGCTTTCCAAAAATGGCACACGAAACGGGAATTTGTTTACAAAATTAATTAAATTAATTTAAGATATATTTCGCACAAGCGCTTAACTGAATGGAAGACAAATCTGATTGGACTCTTTTTTTATTGTAATTAACCAAAACCGATTTTATAGTTCAATAAACCGAAAGTTTAATTTATTAAAAACGAAACCAAGTGATTTATTTAATAGAACGATTTCAGGCAAAAAGGGAAATCCTGATAATAAAAATAAAATGGACATCGCGTGAGAGTCCAAAAAACAAAAACAAATGTCATTTCGAATGTCGACAGAAATTGGCCCAAACGAGACTCGGTCAGCGGCAAAGCACAGACAAACGAGTCTTTAGACAAACATACATATATAAATGTATATATATATATATATATATATATATATAAATAAATATTCTATCTAGAACGCCCTTGGGCAATTTCCGCAAATGCCAACTATGGTAAGGTTTAATTGTAAATAAAGCAATAAACAACAACAACAACAACAGCAGCAGCGGCAACAGCAACAAGAAACCTGCCAGCCTGGAAGACTAGAGCAGCGAATACATACATAAACCCACATACATACACTGGCCCATGTGTCCCAAGAAAGCCCCCAATCGAAGTGTGTATATAAATAGTCTACAGATAGAACTGACAGCTGACCATACTGGTCAATGAATTAACAAATAAATAGTGCAAAAAGCAAACAACAACAAAAATCATCAGCAAATAACAATGTTTGTAAATAAAGTCGCACGCCCACAATGCAAACGGCGCGACGCGGTGCGACGCGACTTGTGCGCTGTTTAAAACGCGCGCAATTTGCTGTGTGCGCCAAACGGCCAAACGAACGACTTTTATAGCAGCTGTCTGTCAATGGGTCAATCATTGACTAGGTTCATTCAATGCCTAACCCGAAAACACTTTGTTGTAGTTTAAGCAATCAATTTGTCAATCACACGGTTGTGGCTGCAAATGTCAGACCCGATCCAATTTGGAGTTCTTAATGCTTAGTAGATTCTGCTCTTCATGTTGCCTTTGTTTGCCTTTGGCTTAATAGTATATAGAATATAAATCCACTTGTTATATTTTTTAGAATTCAGAATGTGTATGCGAATCATTACTTATTTATATGTAGGTTTAATTAGCCTGAAATATTTGTTTTGAATTCGATTTGCTTCTCAGCTATTTGCTGTCTCGCTTATTCTTTTCATTGAGCTGCCATTTCACGCGTTTTTTACAAATAAACTCCCATAGAGGGCGCTACAACTTCAGCATATCAACTTCAAATAAGTGTTGCATACTTTCAGGCGGCAATCTTATTGAGCTGCTGCTTTAGCTGAGCCCGCAGTAATGCACTCAGTGGTCAAATAGATAAGCCACCCCATAAATAGCCCCACCGACTTGTCATTGCTTCTGAAATAATGATCTTGAGCCATTCTTTTGCATTTTGCGCGTTGACTTACGAGCGAGCTTTATTAACGATAACTACAACTAATTAAAACATGCAAAATGTATGTCTCTATATAACAATGACTGCCACATTTACGAGTGGTGCGAATGGTGTTGGTGCTGGTGCTGGTGCTGGTGAGGGGTGATGCTTGACTGGTTGGCTCTCTGTGCGGATGTGGAATTTCAATGCCAGCTTACTGCTCGTCCTTCTGTGCTGGTGGATGCGTGCGAATGTATTCGAGGGCGCGCAGCACATAGGCGGGAACGGGAGGTGGGGTGGGCAGATGATCGCCAACTGGATGATAGCCCTCCTCGTCGGCGGTGTAGCTCAATGAGATTTGCTCACCTTCAGGCGAAACATAGGCAACGGAGCCGCGCACGCCCGAGGGATTGCCCGCCTCCTGCACCTGAATGCCATTGCTGGTCTCGTAGGCAAACTGATAGTTGCCCTCGGCATCGGAGGCGTCATTCTGGAAGCTGCGAATCTGTGCGTCCTTGTTGATGTTATCGGCGCAGGCGCAACCGATGAGAGCGAGGCAGAGCACCTGTAATTAACTCTTGCGATTAGCGATGCGAACTCAACGGGTCACAGTGGAGCTCACTTACATATTTGAACATCTTGACTTGGAGCTTGTCTGAAGACTTGGGCTGGGTTTAAGTGTTGTGGAATGGATGCTTCAACTGCAAC